AAAATAGATTTTGTGTTTCTACCTCTGGCGAGGTGTGGTTGAAAGCCATTAAAGCTGAGTATCACTGGCCTAGCAATTGAACCTTACATCTGAGTCCCCCCTGGCCAGGACTCAGAATGCTTTACTTGTATGTTAACTGGGGCTGACTTCAGGGATTTAGTTGAAAGAAATGGTTTTTTTGTTTGTTTGTTTGAGATAAGGTCTCACTATGTAGCCCAGGCTGGCCTCAAATTTTGGTCCTCCTGCCTCAGCCTCCCAAGTGCTGGGATTGCAGGAATACATCACCGTTCCCAGCTGTAGGTGAAAGTCACATTAACAGTTGACAAGGACAGGAGCAGAGTCTGAGGCCCCTAAATCAAAGGCATCTCAGACAGGTTATTAGAACAATGCCTGTGCTCTCTGGACTCTGCTCAGCAAGTAGACTGGCCTGGCACACAGGTGCTCAAAAAGTGTTGTGTCCTGCCGTGGAGCAGTGGGACAAAGGGAAGGCAGTTAGATCCAGAGGGGTGGGGAAGGCTTTGTTATTTTTTATTGACAATTTATAAATGGCCAGGGAACATTGTATGGTTTCCTAATCTTTGAAATCTGTTGAAATTCAATTCATGGTCAGGTATGTAATCAATTTTTGAAATGATTTTTATGCATCTGCGAAGAATGCAGTCTGCAGATGGTGAGGACCACATCCCAGTTTGGTCAGTTAGGTCATTCATCCATCCTATTGTCCAAATAGTCAACATCCTGGGCTGTTGTTTTGTGGTACTGGGGATTGAACCCAGTGCCTTACAGTTGCTAAGTAAGTGCAGTACTACTGAGCTATATCCTCATCCCCCCACCCTTTTGAGATAGGGCCTTGCTATGTAGTCCAGGCTTCCCCTTGAACTCATAATCCTCTTGCCTCAGCCTCCCAAATGCTGGGATTACAGGCATGCACACCATGTGTAGCTTCTCCCCAGCCCATTAAATTTTCTTTTTAAATTTTGAGAGAGTCTTGCAAAATTGCTCTGGTTGGCCATAAACGTGTGAGTCTTCTGGCTCAGCCTCCTAAGCAGCTAGGATTACACAGATGTATGCCACCATGCTCAGCCCTGTGTTTTTGTTTTTATGGAACTAGATTAGCCAGACTCCAAACGAGTCACACAGAATAAGAATAAGCCTTAGCCAGAGATTTAGCTCAGTGCTTCTGCCACCTGCCTTGCAAGCGCAAGGTCCCGAGTTCGATTCCCAGTACCAAACAAACAAGAAAAAGCCTTGGATGTTGAGGCAGTTTTGTTACTCAGTATTGAGGCAATAACTAGCTGATACAGGAGGTAGATTATGACTGCTAGAAACCCTTCAGGAAAATGAACATGCACCTTGGGCTCAACCGGGTGGTAGAGTAGTAGTAGAGGAGCCCTGGGTTTCCAGAGCTTGCTGGAAACCAGTGAGAAGAATGGAATGCAAAGCCATCGTGACAGTGCTTGTTCTGTGGGCTGGAGGCACCTGGGAAAATGGGCTGCTGGCATCTTACTCGCTCCCCACGCTTCTGACCACCACCCTGATGACGCTCTGACTTGGGATCCCACAGAGCTGGACTATTACTACCTGCATGTCTCTACCTGCCTGTTTTGTGTGATAATAACATTCCAAATCTACTTCTGTATTCTTCAGGATTGTCTAGTACTCCACCGTGTGACTTTTCCAATTACCCATCCTCCTGAAGGATGTGTGGACAGTTTCTAGTCCGGCTGTTATCAGCAGTGCTCTCATGTGCATCTTGTCTGCATAATCTTGGAGAGCTCTTGTACACATTGTTGGTTTCTACACACCTAGGAGTGGAATTGGTGCGGACAGGTCCCATTAGGCCATTCACTTACCACCTGCCAACTTTGTCTACCACGGCAAGTTATTTCACTGCTGGAACTCACTTTTTAATCTGTATGTTGGAAATAAAAATACCTTCCCCCAGTGTTGTGGCCAGGACTTAATATACCAACAGTGAGGCATGTGTCCCCAGTGCAGCTTCTCTACCTTCCCTGTTTCCTCTGCCCCAGGACACAAGTTCTCCACTAGGCTTCTGCCAGAAATCCTCACCATGACCCTGGAAAGTCTGCCCTTCCCCAGCCTGCTCACCTGGTCCTCTTTGTGACTGGTACCAGGGTATCCTCAGCACTCACTGGCCATGATCACTATTGCTGTTAGAATTTCATGACTTGTCCAGGGGACAGGCCAGGCAGGGTGTGAGGAATGAAGAGGGACAGAACGGTTGGTTGAGATTCAGCCCAGGAATGCAGAATAGATGTTCCTTTCTTGCCAGGTCTTCCTAGTTCTCCAGCCAGGAGTTTTATGCCCTTATATTTCTTTTCCTGGAACACCCTGAGTCAGGCCTGTTGAGTGACATTGAGCCTAGTAGAAGCAAGCCATAGCAACAGGAAGCTCTGTCAATCTGAGTTCTATCACTGTGTAGTGGTAGTATTGTACTGAGGATTCTGAAGTAGTATACAGGCCCAGGAAAGAGCTATGGTCGGTTAGTTATGACTGTTGTGTGCATGGGAGGTGTCGGTGATGGTTCATAGTACTCATCTCTGACTCAAAACTATTGACTGTTACGGGTCAGAAGGGACATGTACTTTATTTATTTATTTATTTATTTAGGTACTGGGGATTGAACTTGGGACCTTGCACTTGCAAGGCAGGCGCCTGAACCACTGAGCTAAATCCCCAGCCTGGGACATGTACTTTATGAGTTAAACAGAATGTTTTTTAAGTAGATGAGTTAAATCCCTTTCCATTTGTATTATATATTGATATATTTGGATTTATTTTTACTATTTAACTTTGTACTCCCTCTTTATTCCCTTTTCTTTGTTGAATTTATAAAGGTTTTCTGTAATCTGGTCTCTTGTCTAGTTTAGAAAATACAAAATGTTTTATCTTTGAGACTAAATTTTTTATTGTACATATTTGTTATTCACTGTTACTGTCCTTCTGAACGGTACCTTTCCCTACCATTTTTTTTTTTTTAATCTAAAAGGCTGGGTCTTGCTTTGTTGCCCCAGCTGGTCTCAAACTTATGGGCTTTAAGTGATCATCCTGCCTTTAGCTTTCTGAGTAGCTGAGACTACAGATGCCACCACTATGTCAGGAGAAATTTATTTGTGTGTGTGTGTGTGTGTGCGCGCACACACATGTGTGCATATTCTTCTGGGGAGTGAACCCAGGGCCTTCACATTGAGGTACATCTCTAGTCCCTTCTTATTTTTAAATTTGAGGCGGGGTCTTGCTAAGTCACTAATTTGGCAAGCTCTAACTTGCCCCCCTCCTGACTCACACAGTGCTGGGATTACAGGTGTGCACTACCATGCTTGGCTTTAAAATCATTTTAGTACAGAAAATTTGCAAAGATGATATGAAGGATGTCATATATGTTACCCAACTTCTAACATTCATGTCTTACAAAATGATGGTACATTTAACAAAACTAAGAAAATAACACTGGTACAGTAATACTCCAGATTTTATTTGGATTTCAACAGTTTTTTCACTCGTGTCTTTTTCTGTTCCAGGATACTGCCTTGTATTTTAAATATATTTCAAACTTCAAATTTATGTAAAAGTAGAGAGGATTGGGGAGTAGAGTGTGTGGTTAGCATGTGCATGGTCCTGGGTTCAATTCCTAGCACCAAAATAAATAAAAGTATACAGAAGAGTAAAATAGTAAGAAAAATTTTATATACAATAAAATCTGTCCCTCATCTTCAAAAATGATGAGCTCCTGACCAATTTGTTTTGTTCATACCCCAAATCTGAATAATTTGCCCTTTTCCTGGTCTTATTGGCTTACAATTTACAGATTTATACTGAGGATGCCTTTATTTCCCTTGCTTCCTATATGGCAATTCCCTAGTTTTAAATTAAGGAGTTCCTAAGGTCAGCACATAGGGGGCGCCCCCCCCCCCAAGAAAGCATTAACTATGGAAACAATTGAAGGGGGCAAGGGTCAAATAGGGGCAAAATTATATTTTTGCAAATTAGCAGTTAAGATTTTTTGCTGAAAACCTTAGGAAAGACTTAAGTCTTCATCTGTTATTTTTATTTTTATTTTTATTTTTTTCATCTGTTATTTAAAAAATATATACATTTTAATTTCATGACCAGATAACACACTTGCATATGTTTACATGTAAAGGTCAAGGTCTGTTGCCCACAGTTACCTACATGTCCACCCCAGAGGCATCTGGCATTAGGTTGTTTCTAGGGAAGAGGTCAGAACACTTCTTGTGAGTATCAGATAGCCAACATGTAAGGCATGGTGGGCAGATCCCATTCTAGTGTAACCCTGAAGTGAAATAATATGCAAATGCAACCACATTCAGACATACATATTCACATCGTCTCCCTGAACCCTATAAAAATGGCGGCATACTATGTAGACTGTTCTGGACTTGGCTTTATCAGTTAAACACAGGGGATGGCAGACTGTCCCACTAGCCAAATCCAGCCTGCCACCTGTTTCTGTACATAGTTTTACTGGAACCTGCATTCCCTCATTTACAAGTTATCTGACTGCTTTCATGCTACAGAACTGACTAGTCACAACAGTGGCTGTGACTGGCAAAGCCTAAAGTCTTTACTGCCTGCTCCTTTATAGAGCAGGTTTGCTTGTCTCCAAATTAAAGGATATGTGTGGCCTTTCCACATTAGTAATGAAAGCTTCTGCACTCTGGGAGCATATTCTTTCCACAATTAGGGCCTCTTAATGCATATCTGGGTTGGACCTTTGTACTTACCCCATTTTCTGCATGTGTGGGTGTATTTATAGGATGAAGTCTTAGAAGTGGAATTGCTCAGCAAAAGCCTACATTGATCATTGTATTGCTATTGTCAAACTGCCCTCCATGGAGGTTGGAAGAACTTACATTCTCACCAGTGTTATGAACCCCACCTTTGCCAGCAAGGTATTTGTAAGCTTTTTAATATTTACCATTCTGCTAGGTGATGAGGGAAAAAGGCACCCATGGGGAGTTGATTTCATATGCCGTTTATTCTGATGTGCGACATATCTTTGCATGGGTTTGTGAGACCCCCCTCCTGCTGGTGGTTTACTTTCCTGGTCTGAGGATCTTCTGGGCATTGGTCTCCTCTCTCTCTGACTCTCTCCTGTCACTTTCACAAACAAGCTTTTGGGGAGCGAAAGTCTCAAGGACAAATTTAGGGCGGCTATCAACGTCATCAACATGCTAGATATCAGAGGTGGAAAGCCCGGGGGAAACCTGCAGGGCTTCAGCAGTCTGCTCCGAACTTGGAAGGGTAACCTACAGAGGGCTTGCGCTGCCCTCTTCCACAGGGCTTCTGTTGACACGAGCAGCCTTGTGTTCCTCCAGCTTTTTGATGGGTACCACATGGGAGGCATTGTATTTGCAGCTGGCCATCTTTTTGGCTTTCTTGGGGTTCTTTCTCTTGCATGATGCCAGGTGGTACTGGAATCTGCTGAGTGGAATTCGGTGGTGAGGATTGTAAGGACAAATTTCTAAGACCATGAGACAAATTTCTGGATCCATGAGAAGTCCTTGAAGTTGAGTATCCCAATGCCCAGAGTCTAAAGGAAATGCATCTAGTAGATCCCTTTTGTAAGAGGGATGGAACTGTCTGTCCTCTGCCCACTGGTGGCCCTTGCAACTCTGTTGGCTCTGTCAGAAACACGGGATGACAAAGTTACAAATAGTGCACGGCACAGAAGAGATACATAAAGCAGAGGCAAGAGCCCAAACCCACAGTAGCTGCATTAGGAGGTGGAGAAGGTATAAGGCACCCCGCTGACTCGGGGGGAAAGGATGTACTGTGATGTCAAGGAACAGACATCTGTGGTCACAATGACTGGCTTGCATCATCAAGTAGAGGCTGCTACTTGTCCCTTGTGTGGGAGGAGTGAGTGGCTTTGGGGAAAGATACTTTTTAAAATTATTCATGGCATCCATGCTGTCATTTAAGTCTTCTAACTACATTAGTATAATAAAACTTCCAATATATTTTGGTTCAAGTCTGCCATCTTATTTTGTGCTTCCTAACTTATTCTTTGGCTTATTTTTTTTCCTCCTCCCTTCCCTTAGTTTTATTTTTGGTGGTGCTGAGAACCAAGCCCAGGGCTTTGTGCATGTTTGGCAAGTGCTCTGCCACCAAGCTATGTCTCCAGACCCCTTCTCTTATTTTAGAAAAGACAGTTTTAAAATATCTTTTTATTTCACTCTACTATTTTGCACACTTTCATGTGGTTTAGTGATTACAAGTTAAAAACATTCATAGATAATTTATCAAAATTAAAAAATATTATATCTACTTTCTGGGTAATATGGGGCTTTTCCTTCATTTGTCTCACCCCTAAGTCTTTGTTTTCTGTATTTTAACCTTAATTTTAAAAGCCTCACCAGGTATTATTGCTGTTGTCATCTTGTAACGTGGAAGTTCATTTACATTTATTCTCATATTTAGTCCGTTCTTTGCTGTTCTGTTCTATCTTGTATCTCAGTCCTACTATGTAGGATCACTGTCCTTCTGCTTGAAGTTTTTATTTATTTATTTTTGAGGCAGGGTCTTGCTATACAGTTGAAGCTGTCTGTGAGCTCACTATTTCACCCAGGCTGGCCTGGAACTCATGGCAATCCTCCTGCCTCAGCCTCCCGAGTGTTGGGATTACAAGTGTGTGCCACCATGCCCAGCTTCATTTATTTTTTTCATTTATTGAAACAAGGTCTTGTATGTTGCCCAGACTGGCCTCCTGGGCTCAAGCAGTCTTCCTGATTCAGCCACCCGAGGAGCTAGGATTAGAGACATATACCACCACACCTGACCTGAAATTTTTTAGAAATCTCTTTTGACAAACTTTTCAGGTTCTGTTTGCCTGAAAATGTCCTTGTTTCACCCTCACTCTGAAAGATATTATTTTTTGTCTTCACGTTGGAGGAGAGTCCAATTTCTTCTTGCTGTGACGGCTGTGAACAAGAGTTCAGCTGTCTACTGTTATCCACTTTTTTGGAGGCTAATCTAGTTTTTTTCTCTTCCCTTGATGCCCAGGGCCTCACACATATGAGGCAAACACTACTGCGGAACTGCTTCTCAGCCCCAATCTCTTTCCTCTATGCCTGTTTTAAAAAATGTTAAAGCTGGACACGGTGGTGCACGCCTGTAATTTCAGCACTCTGGGAGGCTGAGGTAGGAGGGTCATGAGTTTGCATCCAGCCTGGGCAGCTTAATGACTTAGGGAGAACCTGTTTAAAAAAAAATTAAAAAGGCCTAGGGATGTCCCTGGATTCAATTTTTAGCTGCAGAAAGAATTTTTTTAAAAACAATTTCATCATGTTTTTGAGCTATAGACTTCTTTTTATCCTTTTTGTTAGGCCTCTTGTATCTGTGCATGAATGTTTCTTTTTTTGTTTGTTTGTTTTAAGACATGGACTTGCTGTGTAGTTCAGGCTGGCCTTGAACTAGAGGCAATCCTCCTGCTTCAGCCTCTCAAGTTCTGGGATTACAGAGATGTGCCCCCATGCCTGGCATGAATGTTTCTTTAATTTTGGAAATTGCTCAGCCATGGTGTCTTTGTGTATTGCTTCTACATTATTCTTTGTCCTCTCTTCCTGGGACCCTCAATACTAGACCTTCTCTCGCTTCTCACAGCTTCTCATACCTTCTCTTCTATGTTCTTTGTGTTGTATTTTGGATAATTTCCCCTGGTCTATACTCTAGTTCACTATTTCTCCTGTACTGACTCATCTGCTGCCAAATATGCTCACTGGATTTTTTTTTTTTTTTTTTTGGTACTGGGGATTGAACTCGAGACCTTGTGCTTGCGAGGCAGGTAGCAGCACCACTGAGCTAAATCCCCGGCCCTGTTCACTGGATTTTAATTTTGGTTTTTACCGTTTGCATTTCTAGAGGTTTGGGTTGTTTTTCAAAACTGTTTCCCTTTGCATGGTTTCTCGCTCCCTGCAGATGTTTCCAGACACTTCAGCTCCTTTAAGCCAGGTGAGCTGATGTCACCGCGTGTGTCTGTGGCCAGCACAGGTGTTCCTACAGGTCTCTCTGGAGTGCACTGTGCCTTTGTGTGCTGTTGTCTTCAGTGGCTTATTGCTCAGTGTGATTGAAAAATTATTTGTGAGGTTTTTCCCAGGGCCAAGGACAGAAAGGATGTGTCTTTCTTTAAAGAGGCTTTGCCAGGCATAGGGGCCTGTGGTCAGGGACATCTCAGCCCAAGCCACAGGGTCCTGAGCAGAGCCAGGCTTGTGTGCTTGGTACTGTATGTGGTTTAGGGACTGGTGGGTGGGCACAAGTCCCAGGCTGCCTTTCTTTACCCTGCTGCTCTGTTTGGCCCCGAGGTAGCCTTTTCTGGTCTCCTTGGAGTGGAAGGAAGGGTTTAGATCTGCCCATATATCCCTGGGAATGGAGGGAGCCCTTTGGTGTTTCGGCTAAACATGGAAACATTTCCTATAAAATTCCTTGTATTGAGTGGATCCTGCTTTTGTCCCTCTTGCCCCACATAGGACTGAACCAAAGTCCAAATACATAATATTGCAAATATCTCAGGTAGTTTTCGCCAGCTGACATTCTGCTCACCTCTCTGGCTTTAGGTTTTCATTTATAAGTTGGCCTTGATTTTCCCATGGTTAAACTGTTTTTCAGAATCCCTGAATGGGCAGATTCAAAATCATAAGTAAATATAAACAGCTTCCCTAAATTAAATGATACAAATTACATAGTCACCATAAATGAATATATAAATGTATTGTAATTCCAAAAATTAACTATGATAACTTTATGTGTATGGTCATATTTCAGCCCAAGTCCCAGCTTATTGTTTTGTTTTTTCCAAAAAAAGGCTTGACTGACTCCAAGTATTTATTCATCTAGATCAGGTGTCAACAAATCCCCTGGGCCAAATCTAGATGATTGTCTGCTTTTGTAAATAAAGTTTTATTAGAACACAACCCACACTCATTTCTTTCCACATTGTCTCTCCACTGCTATGGAACAATATTTGAACAATATTTGAGTTGCAAAAGCTCAGGTAACCCACAAACATCAAATGGTTTCTGGCTGCTATTCCCAAAAAAGTTTGCAAACCCTATTCTTGATGAATTTTACAGTTGGCATGTCAATTCTTTCCCTTAATTTGCTAGTGGTTCAGAAAGTAGACTGTTCAGAGAAGCTGAGCTGGTCCCAGCACCTGGAAGGAAGCTTCCCACCACCATCCCAGGCTCCTAGGGCAGAGAAGGTGAGCCGCGCGGGCACCAG